TTGTATATTTATACAAAGTCAGTTTATTGCTCCCACAAACTGGGTCCTCAGTTTGCCCAGAACCTCTTTATCTGAGGGGGGGCCCTTCATTTATCCCACCTTTTTTCCCAGGCGCTAGACACCACACTCTCTTCTCCAATTTTTCCCAGGCAGCAACTCTGCAAAGAGGCACAGAGCAGCCAAAGTTGGGGGGGGAGGGATTTAGACCCCGCCTTCCCCCACTCCTTAACCAACACATCAGAGGGCTCTCTTGGACTGACTTCTTTGGAACCATTGTCTGCCATCACGAAGTCTATGGAGATGGAAACGGGAGTTGCTCCTTGAGACTCAGCTACAGGATGGCTGCTTTGCACCCTCAGCCTCCTCCTCCTCCTCTCTCCCAGGCTGGATACCTGGTGGATGATCTTCGGAGGGCAAAAAAAGGAAGAGCAGCCATTTCACTGTCCCCTTCCTCTGTTGCGCATGGCAACAGATGCGGTGGCTGTCATGGCAACTGCTGCATTGTCATGAGATTGACCCCAGCAGCAGCAGCAGCAAGCATCTTCCCTGAAGCAACTGCCCGACTGGCCCTTTCATCCGTGCACCTCTTCTTTCTTGACCCTGCTACCTGTTTATGACCAAGCAAAAACTGCCACAGAGACCCCCTTCTGATGGTCACTGCAGCTTCAGGCAAGAGGTTGCTGCCATTTTGAAAGCCCTCCTGATCCTATCTTGCAAGGCCCATTTTCAGTGGAACGAAAGAGGGTGCAGCCAATTTTTTGGGCAAGGGGTGGCCCTCCTTCACTGGGTGCCATTAAGCAGAAGCTGTTCCACCATCTGTCAGGTCTGATTCAACAGGGACTCCCTCACCAAGCAGCAAGTTAGTCTTGATAGCCACAATGACTCCTCCCATTGCCGTTATGTCTGTACCCAACACTCTTCAGGTCAAATATAGCAAGCACTGAATTGATCGGTAACATAAAGCAACATATGGTGGACTCAGAGGAGCTTAAGCTTCACTTGCAATTCACCAAAGATTGTGCTTGACATCTGAAACAGAGGAGGCAATCTCCAAAAAACGTTACAGAAGGTCTTGTGGGACTGGAGGAACTTCCACCTTTGAATCCTCAGGCTCTTGACAAATCTTGCAGAAAAGGTCTGCAAGATAAACAGCTGGCTAGTTGAGTTTGCAGATTCTCAACTGTGCTACAGAAGGAAGCAAAATGGAAGGAGGCCTAAGTCCTGTAGCCCTACCTGAGCAGAAGACTAGGAGAGCCTCTTTCACAACTCGAGGCTGACTTGAGTTGCAATGCAGCTTTCTGCTGAATGACTGAAATAGAAATGTTTAATTGTTAAGAAGGCACCTATGTGTCTATGGGGAGGGGGATTGCCCTTTTCCAAGGAACTCCCACAGCTTCTGCTCCCCACCCAGGAAAGCAAACAGATATGCAGCATAGTTCATTCAGCTGTCCCAACCACCATGCCAAGCAGGCTCTCCTTTCTATCTGACCGGGCCACTGCTTCAGATGCCAATCCTGTCCTCGCTCTCTCCATCTCTCTCCAAAGGTATCTGGAAGTCAACAGTTTCACCTGATGGACCATCATGCCCACATCTCTGGGCTGCCTTCCAGCTCCCTATCAGCATCTGAGATCATTCTGCTATTTAACATGCCTCTGTTACCTAGAATGGCTGCCAGGCTCCACGCCATTCTGCCCATTGTGCTTCTTGGCACAGGTGCGCCTGTCCACCCTTGGAAGGCAAGCACAGCCCCACAGGCATGGCCACCACTGGAGTGCAGCTCTGCCAATTCCCTCCCCTTTCTAGTTCGACCCGTGCACTATGCTGGTCCAGGCAGACGGTTGACTGATTGTCCTGTTTTTTGCTTCAGGAACTGTAATAGGTTGTAAAGGAGTGGCCATTTGCATAATCCCGTATAAGAGAATGGAAAAATGGTCTGCTAAGGATGGAGTTTTGTCTCGCTTTTAAACTCCTGTGTCCCTCTAAGTTACAGCTAGACGGGGTGCTTTTAAAACCAAAACCAAAAGGCAAACATCACTGCTTGAGGTCTCATTTTGCCATAAGCGGATGGGTTCCTCCCGGTGGCAGTTTATACAGACCTCTAGAACAGGCCTGGGAAGAGGCAAAAGTAGCCTTCAAGGCACCCCAAATCCTAACGCTGAGCCCTCACATTCAGCCAGAGATTCCCTTCCTTGGCCTTTTCTGCATATTGGCTATTTTCTCCATAATCATGCTGGACAAATACTGAAGCAAAAATAGGCAAGAAGGGTAAAAAAAAATCAGTCACGCCACAAAACTCCTCCAGGAACAGAATCTCCGCAGACATAGGAATATCCTGTCTGGGGCTGACCAACTTGCCTTGGATGAGAGAGACCTAACCCAAAGAGATGCCCATGGAAAGGAAGCCAGTGCCTCTCAGGGCAAGAGGCAAGCTCTCCAGATGACAAGATCAGCCTCTTCCAATTCACCACCCTGGCTGGGGGCCAACAGACACAATCCTTATCCAGCATGTCCAAAGACTGGCAAGGAGAGGAGTCACGTAGTCTGTGGTGGGCCAAGACCAGGAGGATCTGGGCACAAGTAGGTGCAGCTGATACCTTTTAATAATTGGCTAGTGGAAAAAGCTGCTGAACTGCTTCTCCTTAGCCTCCCTCTGAGTTTTGTGTGTGATCCGTGATCTCAGAATCAAACTGAGAAGGTCCTTTTGAGGACAGCGAGCCCACCCTTTTGCTCAGTCCACAGGCCAGCACCCATGACAGATGGCTGTCCAGCCTCTCCTTGGACCCATCCAGGAAGAGGACACTATGGTCTACCTGGGAAATTGGCTCAGCTCTCAACCTGCCCTCCCTGTTGGGAATCTTTTCCATTCAATTGGAACCTGCCTTCCTGTTGCCTGGAACAGCATGTTGTTCCAAGTCCAGTGCTGTGGAGCTCTAGACACGGGTCATGCCCATGGGGTGCTCTTTCGGGGAGCAGGATGCTTTTTAGTAGGAAAGAGCTGAGCTACGACACCCTTAGGACTGCCATGCATTCACAGCAGGAGCCACGAAACACTCCGCCTCCTTCGCTTTGCCACAGGAGAAAATGCTGATCTCATCCGGCTTACAAGATGTTCTGAACATGAGAAAACGCTCCAAAAGGACTCCCTATTCTGGCTGCTGCTTGGCATTTTCTGGACAACTGTGATCCCTGTTCAGACCTCCAGGAATTCATCCTCAAAACTCAAGGAGGAACAGTTTCATCGTGGACCTTTCTCCCCTTTCCCTCTGACTTGTCTTCACTCAGACTTTTGCAGACTTTTTTCTTGCTCTGTTTTCCAGCCTGGCGCCAAGGCATCAAGGGATCGCCCAGACTGTTCAGGGCTCAGTGAATGCAAGAGAGCTTGTGATGCTTGTGATCAAAATGATTTGATGACCAATACAGACTTTAATTTAAGCTACAGTTCTTACGCTGGTTATTCTCTGGGTTCACATAAACCCTTCAATCAGAAACCAAATCCAGTGGTGTGGGCCCACTTACTGAGCCCCCTCCAAAACAACACCAAGGTAGCTCCGTTGGGTTAATGCAGCTGAGTCGGGTTTGTAACTGATCCATCTAAATATGCTTATGAATTCCCTCCTGTACAGCCACTTGCAAAATAAGGCCTTCTGCCCATGCTCAGCCCACACCAAGGGTCTCTTCGCTGCTGAACCCCTGGCTTCTTCCCTAGCAGACGACCCTGGCCACTTTTACCCCCTCGCCCTCAGATAAGATGATAGCTGGCTCTTAAAGACAGGCCAGAGGAGAGCAGACCCACAACTGCTGTCCTCCCAGTGAAGGGTCTGACTGGCTCTTCCAGTTCCTGACCCAAAGACCGGGGGGGGGGGCAATTACAGCCAGACTGGCTCACGATTAGCCAATCAGGTCACTGGCTGCAGTCAATTAAGAGGACCCAGAGTAGCAGTCAGTCAGCTTCCCTTTCATAAAGATGTTCACACAGTGGGTATTTCTCTACACCAGCAAAGGAGGAGCCTGTTCCGTTTCCCTCTTTGGGTCAGGCATAAACTGATCTCCAAGAAGACGCTTTGTGGGCTTCAGCCTGCTGTCCTTGGAAATGCAGGCATGAGGGTTTCAGACCCAAGACCCCCTTGGGGCCTCCTGATGCAAGGGGTGTGAGTGTGTGTGTGTGTGTGTGTGTGTGAGACACAACAATGGTTTGCTCACCAACCCCATCCGCCCAGCTGCAAGTTTTTTGGACACAGCAAGAGTCTTTTCATCAATCCCTCTGCCCAACCAATTGTTGTGAAGACCCTGATGGATAAGGGAAGCCCTTGGGGGGGGGGGTGTATGTGACCTTTTGGATACAGAGAAGCAGGTTACAATCAAAGATCAGCACTTCCTTCTCTAGACCATTTTAAAAATCAGCTGGAAAATAGGAAAATGCCTCTTCTCACCCCCTCCCACCCCCACCCCGACTTCAGAGACCAGATTTATCATTTCTCTCCTTGGCTGAGAAGAGGCAACAGCGCAGCTCCTTTGCCTCCCCCTCCCCTGGTTTGCAAAGGCAAGACCCTTACCCTGCACCCCCCACCCCCACCCCCGACAGAGAGTTCCTAAAATCAGGCGTTGACTTGCTGCAAAGAAGGAGGGGGGAGGGAGAAGGGGGCGGGGGCGGGCAGGCATAGGGATGAGCCCAACGGGGCTTGGGGGCGAGTGAGGAGGGGAAAGGGGCCGCTTCCCATCTCGCCTTCCCTGGGGCCGGAGGGCAGCGCCCGCTTCGCGTCCCAGCGCTCGGCTCCAGACCGCCCAAGGAAGCCTGAAGGCGCGAGGCGCGCTTCTGCCCGGTCGGCACCCACCTGCGCGCCCCTTGGCCGGAGGAGTCCGGCGCAGCCCTGGGCCAGGAACAGGCTCCGCAGCTTCCCTGCCAGGGATGGGGGTCCGCCTGCCGCCCGCGAGCCCGGGGGCGGCGGAACTGCGCCAAGCGGCACCTCCCCTCCCCTCCCTCGGCGGCGCCGCAGCTCACCTGGCGGGCGCGGGTCGGCCGGCTTGCTTGCCTGCCCTCTCTCGGAGGCGCGCCCGGTGCGGAGCAGGAGCCGCGGGAGCAGCGAGCGCTCCACCGGGAAGCGGAGGAGGAGCTCCGCCGCGCTCAGCCCCACCTGCGCCGCCGCCGCCGCCGCCGCCTTCAGCACCTTCCTTCTCCGCCTCCCCGGGAGCAGAATGTGGCTCGCCCGCCCGCCGCCTTCGCGCGGAGCCTCATTGGCTGCGCCGAGTGGCACTCATGCCTCTTTCGCTCCTGGAGCCCCCCCTCCCCGGCCGCGCTGCGGAGGGGCCCGGGCCCCCCGGGAAAGAAGCGGCCGTCCGCTCGGCCCAGGCAGGAGCGGCCAGCTCTTCGGGGCGCTTGGGGGTTGGCGGGGCTCGCTGCGGAGGCGTCGCTCCTGCAGGAGCCGCTGAGGGCCGTCGAGCCTCCTTGGTGAGGCGGCTCGGTGCCCTCGTGGGGGCTGCGGGGCTGCGGCGAGAAGGGCTGCCTGTTCACAAGATGGCTGCCGGGGGGGCGAGTATGGAAGGCGGCCCAGATTCACCTGACGGCTCCTTGTTGTAGCCCCCTCCCCCTCCCTTGTTTTGCCCCTTTTCTGAAGATTGGGGGAGGGGGCATTGGCAACAAAGAGCGTGCAGGGGCTCACTAGCCGTTTCCCACACAGCTTCGAATTTCTGAAACATTGAAATCGTTTCCCATTAGAAATAGTAGCTGTCTCGTGTAACCTTTAGCTGGAGGAGGAGCCCAGCAGGGGCAGGGATGGGTCTGCAGGTGCGTTGGCCCCTCAGCTGTAAAGCCTCTCTTATCATTCACATTACATAGAAATCCCTCCCCTTTGCTCTACCATGTCTTTGGTTTGGCTTGGGATATGTGTACCCTCCTATGTCTGTCCTCTGTGGGGGGCTGTCCCCTCCGCCACTGCTCAAAGCAAGTTGCTCAGCCCTTCTTGGCTTCCTCTCCATTCCTTCTGCCCTTCCTGTTGACTGGCAGGCCCATCCTGCTGCTCTTTCTAGGATAAGTGGTTGCACCTTGTAAGTTCACTGGAGCAGAAACTCCTACCTACAGAGTTCAGTAGTGATTGTGTGATTGTGTTGCCATCAAGCCAGGATCTACTCTTAGCAACCATATCAATAGATTTTTTTCCCAGAGGGTCCTGTCCGTAACCTGATCCTTCCCTGCTGTGTTCTGAGTCCATCTGGTTACCTTCTCTTTCTTTCCCAGCATTAGAGCTGTCTCTGGCAAAGTAGGTCTTTGCATAATGAGTGGGTTGATCTGGGGTCCATTTGCTTGTTTTCCTGCCTATTTGTGGCATTCTCAGCAGTCCTCTCCACCACCAATGTTCAGAAGCACCGGTACTTATCTATTTTGCTGCTTCTTCAAAGTCCAATTTTATATTTTATGGGCTGGTGCCGGATATAAATAGCAGCCAAATGAGACCAGATGGGTGACTGATCTTCCCCCATGAATTCTGGAGGTTGCTTTGTGCTTTCGTATCATAAGCCCAAGTGGTGAATCTACTCCAGACAGAAGCCCAGTTCTTCCTCCAGGTCTGAGGCCTCACCGCTCGGTGCCTGCCTGGGTTGAATCGTCCTCTGCCCATCACTTTCCAGAATGGAAGATGCAGCTCCTGTTAGCGAATTTTGGAAACTCAGAGGAAGTGTTTCCATGACAACCAGCCAAGATCTCTGTCCTGACATCCTCAGCACTCTTTGCGGCAGCAGTCTAGATTGGTGTCAGTTTGGGATTTTGGGGGCTCCTTTTGGATAACAGTGGAGGTGGGGGGGGGTGAGGTGGCTTTTTTGAGACCCCATCTGTGTCTTGGGAAGATCATGGGGAAAATGGCCCAGGTGTCGTTGCAAGGTTGAGGCTGGTGTCTGAGCAGGGTCCTCGCCCACCCCAGAGACACTGTCCGCTGCTGCCATTCCCAGTTCAAAGGAGGAGGGAAGGGGAACAGCCCTCCAGGACAGAGGCATTCTACCCTCTGAGGACCAGCAATCTGATTCAGTAACATTTAAGACCAGCAGGAGCAGCTCTGCTCAGTGGCACCTTGCAGAAAAGCCACCAAGGTTAGAGCAGAGATCTCATGTTTGAATGTGCAACAAGGAACTGGGAGCAGGGATGGGAGGGAAGGGGGGCAGATTACCAAGACCATCTTGCTCACCTGCCTTCTATCAGGTTCTTCTATCAGGTTTGCCTGTTTCATCAGTTGCAGCCCTTTCTGGATCGGGATGCCTTGCGCACAGTCACTCATGCCCTCGTCATGTCCCGCCTGGACTACTGTAATGCTCTCTATATGGGGCTTCCCTTGAGGAGCACCCGGAGGCTCCAACTGGTCCAGAATGTGGCTGCGTGGGTGGTTATGGGGGCGACTCAATGCTTCCATGTAACACCTCTCCTGCGCAAGCTGCACTGGCTCCCGGTGGTCTTCCGGGTGCGCTTCAAGGTATTGGTTACCACCTTTAGAGCGCTCCATGGCTTAGGACCCGGGTACTTACAAGACCGTCTTCTGCCACCAGTAGCCTCCCACCGACCAGTACGCTCCCACAGAGAGGGCCTCCTCAGGGTGCCGTCGGGCAGACAATGCTGGCTGGTGGCCCCCAGGGGGAGAGCATTCTCTGTGGGAGCACCTACCCTCTGGAACGAGTTGCCTCCAGAGATACGGCGGATCCCTGACCTTCGTGCTTTCCGAACTGCCCTAAAGACGTTTTTGTTTCATCAAGCCGGGCTGGCCTGAACTACTCTTTTTAAAAAGAATTGTTTTTAAAAATTAGGGGTTTTAATATAGGGTTTTTAACTATGGGCCAAATTGATTTAATTGGATTTTAATATTGTTTTAAATTTTGTATCTGTGTATTTTATTTGCTGGCTGTTCACTGCCCCGAGTCCCTTGGGAGAGGGGGGGGGGTATATAAATATAATAAACTAAACTAAACTAAGACCAAGCAGTCTTAACAGCCAACGCAAGAACACCTCAGAGAACTTCCTGAGGGAGGGGAGTGTTGTGTCAGTTCCATGCTCCTATTGCCTGTAATCATACTCATTTTTTAGCCAGGGAAGCTGGGATCTAGGAAACAACTGCTGCCATGTTATTTTTTGCCCAGGTCCCTGAATGCATAAAGTGATAACACTTTGGTGGCTTCTCTTGAGTTTCATTGTCTTGCTCATCCAGTCATATTTTTTTCAGCATGCAAAAATCTGTGGTCTCATTTACTGGAGTGAAACTAAAAAGAACTGCTACACATTTGATTCTCCTTGTCCACCTCTGGTGGGCAACTCATAGGGCAGGTGTGACCCACTGGCATCCCAAGATCACATTGCTCAATTTTTGAGAGATTATGAACAGGAACAGTAATAGTATCTTCCCACTCCCATCCTGAAACTTCCTCTAAAATGAACCCCCAAATTGTCATTAAATGGCTTGAAGAGATTTAGCTGCAGTCTTGCCTTGTTCAGATGTTGCCTACAAGGCCTACCTGGACTGCTGCCCATTGGTCAGAAAAGGTATGGTAACAGTTGTCGGAATCATCCTACTTGAATGGGGGAAAAGCTGTCTGCTCAAGTATACTTTTTTTTTTGTCCTGGTTACCCAGGCTGTTCCTTCTGGCTTATTTCTAGAGTCCCTGGTCAACTCACTAAACTTTTTAAGGCTCATGATTGAACAGGAAGTGCTGTAGGAATTTAGAGATAATGATAAAATAAGGAAACGAGAGACACGTTCAGAGGGTTGTTGGTTCTGAGGGATTCTGTGTGGGGTGAAAAGATAATGTCCTAAGCAGTTGCTGAACGCTTTGGTCACTACTGGTTGCCCTGCTGTGGATGATTGAATGGTGGCTTCCTGTTGAGCAAGCAGAGGCTGGTGCGGCGGGGCAGCCAGCTTTCAGGGTTAAGCTGAAACCCAGAAAAGACAACATGGAGAAATAAATCTTTCTATTGGTGGAAGCAGCTTAGAAGAGGAATACATACAACTCTGCAGTTGTAACCTGCAGTGCTTGTGGCATATTTGTCTTCCTGCCTGAAAAGAAGATGGCATGTTGGGGGGGGGGTGCACGAAGGGAGGCTCAGCCAATCTCATTGTATACATGTTGTACTCTGACAATAAAGGACTGAATTGAATTGAATTGAATGAGTGCAGCAGATGCACGAAGGAAACAAGGAGCAGCAAGTTATCTTTCAATTCATGAGGAAAAATGAAGATTTATTAGATTAAGCAAAGCTGGTACTGTATCAAGCGCTGACAGCGGAAAGAAATCTCCAGAAGGAAGTGTACCAAATAAAGGAATAAGCGCAGTGGATGAAAATGACAAGCAGAAGCAAGAGACATAGAAGATATTCACTAGTTTCCACAGGAACGGCTTTGAGGTAAACGGAGCAAGTTTTGAGCTTGAGGGGAGAAAAAAACCCGAGACCTCTAATAGAAGAGAGAAGAATGAATGCCTGAAGAGTGGGATGATCTCACAGTGTCTGGCAAGAAGACTAAAATATCCGTGGGAGCTTTGATTAATCGCCATGAGGTTCAGAAAGAAATGGATGCTGGGCACTGGGTTCAGGGAAGATGGTTCTGTGATGCCTATCCATGCCTTTCAACTGCTCTGTATATCCAACTCTTTTTCTTGGAAGCCTGACAGGATGGGATTTAAAGGTAAAGGTTTCCCCTGTCCAGTCATGTCTGACTCTGGGGGGTGGGGGGAGGCTGGTGTCCATCTCTGTTTCTTAGCCGAGGGAGCCAGCGTTGTCGGAAGACATTTCTGTGGTCATGTGGCTGGCATGACTATACTTGGAGGTACACAGAACAAGTGATATCTATTTACCTACTTGCCTTTGCATGCTTTCAAACTGCTAGGTTGGCAGGAGCCGAGGCTCACCCGTCACACGGTGCTTGGATCTCAAACTGCCAAACTTCTAGTTGACAAGCCCAGCATCTTAACTGCTAGGCCACTGCGTCCCCTATGGGTGGGATTTAGGCACTGCCTAAAGTTGACAGAATTTTGGCAATTAGTTTAATTCAGAATTAGCTCAGTGCTCGTTTTGAGCTAATGATACCCCAGCATGGATGGGATTTGGGGATTTCCTGATCACAATTTATGATGTTCCCAGAATCCAGCCACACGGACCTTGGAGAGATCACTTCTTTGATTTAGCTGCTCAGCT